GAATGACTCGCGATCTACCAGCATTGCCGGTCGACGTACTGGGCACCTCTGACTTAAAGGTTCAAAAGTAAAAGATTGGTCCTTTAAGTATATTTTGATGCTAATACTTTTGTACTTTTAATTGATACATTTTGAATACAGGACTTTTACTTGTAACAGAGTCTTCCTACACTCTGGTACTTCTACTGAAGTACAAGATCTGAGTACTTCTCCCATCTGGTTGCAGCAGCCTGTCCCCATGTTTTTTTAGAGCTGTATCTTCCAATGTAATACCTTCTAACTTCTAATGCTTCCAGTGGTGGAGGAGGTATTCCAATCATTTACGTTAGTAAGCTTATCTATAACCAGGGGTATAGTACACTTTAAAAATTGGAGTACGCATCCCAGGTTTTTTGCGTGATCAAATCCACTGAAAATTCAAAATTCTAGTACTAAAATCCAATATAAAGAGGTGTGTCTGCTGCGAACTGACTTTTATTAATTTCTGAGAGTGATGTGAAGTTATTAGGTCACATGACAGGGAAGCTATTGAAAAAGAAACCTGGATTAAACATTTTTGGGGGAAATTGTGTATTTCTCTCAATAGCTTTTCTGTCATGCGACCTTAAATCTTTAAATCCCTCTCAGAAATGAATACTAGTCTGTACACAGCAGACACACCTCTTTATATTGGATTTTTTTTAACATCCTTTGTTTAATATTAGTATTGAAAATGCAGTGTTTTTCTTCAAGCACCCCGGCTCATAGTGCAGTGCCAGTATTTGTCCAGCAGGTGTCAGAGCAGCTCCATGCTTCCGGCAGCACGTGTTTAAAGGTCACATGTCATGGCCATTTCCACTGACCATAATTCCATTGTTGAGGTCTACTAGAATAGATTTATACTGTGCAATTTTCCAAACTCACATTGTTTCGCATACAGCATCTCTGTAAACTACGTGTATTCACTCTCTCCACTAAACGGCTCGTTGCAGCTCTTGCCCCCCCCCCTCGCGCTAAGCTCCGTGGAGGTATGATTTCCTTGTTTAGCGATACACAGCGAAACTCACCCTGAGCACACACAAAGTCACAGCCGAAGTAAAAACAATAAGTGTGGCTTGATATTGAGTAAGAAAAAGGTCGATAAACGCTGTGAGAATGGGTCTGCAGAGAGAATTTCGCCACGATCCCAACTGTCTGTTATCAGCCTGCAGCCCGGGAGGAGAGATCACATCAGCAGCAGAGCTGCATGCACTGAGTGTGAGAGGTAGTCCGTGGATTGGTCATTAGTGGATTAGTCCGTGGATTGGTCAATTTGGACCAATCAGCGGGGGCTTAACGTAACGGCTCCACGGATTGGTCCATTTCGTTCCGGGTACGACATGACATCAGATGTCCCCGGAAGAATCAAATGGATGATGACGTTTCACCAACGAGGCGTTTTGGGGAGGTATTTTCTGTGTTAGAGTTTTACTCGCTACAGGGTGTACTTTGAGGGTTTTGACTCTGCACACCGTTTACATGCATAAAAACCTTCATAACACACAAGGGGACGGGTAATAACCGGAAAAGCATGACATGTCACCTTTAATATTACATTCTTTATTGAAAATCCAGGTTTCTTTTTCAATAGCTTCCCTGTCATGTGACCTAATAACTTCAAATCACTCTCAGAAATTAATAAAAGTCTGTACACAGCAGACACACCTCTTTATATTGGATTTTAGTAGTAGATTTGAGTATTTTCAGAGGATGCAGCACTACACCCCTGCTCCTGAGCTCTGTGAAGTCCCATTCATACTCTGTGTAAATAACACACTGCACATCTGTTTATAGAGCTCATATCCGAATATGTATATATTATTACAGTATACAGTTTGCTACACTACAGTATTTCCATTCAGCTTCATCGTATTCTGTACATTTGTTTCTTGTTCCTGCAAAAATGTTGTCTATTGCACAATTTTATTTTGCATTGTTGTAGGAGCCTCACTCAATATATTGATTGCCAGAAATATGCTGTAGCTATATGACAAATAAAACATATGTACAATGACCTGTAATTTACTTGTTTCTCCACAATGTGGGGCCCTCAGCCTGTGAGGGAAAAAAGAGACACCTCCTTTATTTACCTTTTTATAATTTAATATTTGCAAATACTCAAAAATAAAACGGAGTACATCATGTTGTGTTACATTGCATCTGGTGCATGTGCGTTGAATGGAAGGCTATACCACCAGTCTTCCAAGAAAACATCTGTCCTGAATGGGCTGGATTGTTATTCAAAAATGTGAACGAAATCAAAATAGTTCTATGCAATATCCACATCTCAGAAAGCCAATATTTGGTAAAGGCAACATATGTAAACATGTCCGAATGAAGTAAGTATATTCCAGGGTTACAAGCGTTTATTTGATATAATTGATTACAAAAAAATATCCTTGCTTGGAACAGATCCTCAATTGACTATGTTTGTCAATGATCATTTGGATAATGTTTAAAATATGGCCATACTGCCAATTGCAATGTCATTCAAAAATAATTGCAATTATTTATTTTCAAATTGTGCAGCCCTGAAATAAATGGTATAGTGGCCTCTTCTGTGTCCTGATAAATCTACATCATTCAAATATCCAAAACTGTCTCGGAGGGTTGACCTGTACATTCACATGTCTCGCTTCACTTGTCTCCTTCTTTAAGCATCACTCGCCACTGTCTGTAAACCGTGCGCCTCTTCCTCCGCAGCTTTCATCTCCCGGCTGCTCTCCAGCTTCCCTTTGCCGCTGAGCGTGTGGTGCGCCAGGAACACCACAAGCACGATGAAGAACACAGTGCACACTATAATCGCCACGAGCCCCCCCACTGTCACTGCGGAGGGCTGCCTGGTGGGGTCTGGATGGGGCACGGGTGGAGCTGTGGGGATACTCGGAGTCGTGCCCTCTCCAGAGCCTCCATCGGTGCCATCTTCGTTTTTTACGCACGCGAACTCTCCAACCAGCGTGTACCACGGATAGCACGAGCACACATAGCCGCCAAATGTGTTTTTACAAGCTTGATCACAATATAAGTTCTCGCACTCGTCCATGTCTATGCACACCGTGTGCTCGCCCCTCTCCTCCGAGATGTACCCCTCGGGGCAGTAACACTGGAACTTGTCATTGGGGTCGCACTCCGCGGGGCACTCCTCCACCCCGCAGTGCAGTTTACACTTATGCATCGACTTTGGGTCTGCTTTATATCCATCATAGCACGAGCACGCGTAGCTCCCGGGAGTGTTGTCGCACAGGTGCTCACACGGAGCGGAGGCGCACTCGTCCACGTCGACGCACTGGTCTCCGATCGGCGCGTATCCATCCATGCAGACGCACTGGAACCCTCCGATGTAGTTGACGCACAAGAAGTTCTCCCCGGGACACTGCCTCTCATCCCTGCAGTCGTTGAGGTCCACGCACGACCTGCCGTCCTGAGCCAGCTTATACCCTTGCTCGCACGTGCACTCGTAGGAGTCTCCGTTCTTGATGCATGCGTGCGCGCACCGCAGCGGTAGGCACGGGTCGTCCACCATCACCTCGCAGGTGACATTATTTGCGGGGTTCACGGTTTGACCCAGCGGGCAGTAGCACGTGGATTCGTGGTTAGCATTCACGGTGCATTTGTGCTCGCACCCACCTTCGTGTATCTCGCAGGTCCACGGCGCCTGGATCCACTCCTTGTTGAAGCAGACATAGTTAGTCTCAGCTGGCATTAGTACAGCGGTGCTGCCGAGGGGCAAAGACAGCAAATCCTCTCCCATAAACCCCATCGGGGTGGTGTAGAGGACATACTCGCCCTCTGCAGCAGCCAGCCCTCTGCACGGGTCACTGAAGCTGTACTCGCAGAGGAACCCAGCCGCATGTTCCGCGCATGGCTCCTGGGTCCATTTAAAGTCGTCCTCTTCGGAAACTGACACGCAGGCATGAGCGGTGCAGCTGCTGTCAAAACTCTGAGCCCAGTGGAGAAAGTCACTCTCGCTGTCTTTGGTGACCCACTGGAAGCCTCTCAGATCCGCAGCAGGGTCCGGGCAGCCGGCCGGGAGATGTAACCCGATCCAGAACCGCCCCGTGATGTTCCCCAGCAGAATATTCAGAACATCTTGGGACACAGAGGAGCGCACCGTCATTAAATGCCCGCCTCGATCTCTGCATTGGTCTCGCGCGGTGGTGAAGTCGCTGGGATCCCCGGACACAGAGAAACACTGAGTCCCGAGGCAGTATCCGCTATTCAGCTCTATCCCGCTGGAGCTGCCCATCAGGAAAGTCAACAAGAAAACAACATGTCGCGTAACCTCCTTCATCTTTAAGCCTCGGTTGTGTCCGTTTAAGATCTCGTGCGTTCCATCAGTCCATATGCCTGTTTGTTTGGGAAGATGTTTGTCTCGCATTTATAGCCCCCCGACTCCATGTTTAGTTGTCCCGGCGGAGGAAGGCAGTTGATCAGCCCACCTCGCTGCCCACTGAAAAAACTTTCTCCTCTGCAGGGCGGACCACATCCCCAATTACGCACGACTTTTACGCACGTACGCAACGAATCCGCGCGCACGCAAAGGGGGCATTTCCCCAACGCCCCCCATTCGCAGTAGCCCCTCCCAACTCCACTCTGCACTATGGGGAATAAGGCTGCCAGTCACACTTCAGATCCAGTTTCCTTAAAGTTCTTAAAGGTTACAGAATTGACCGTTGTAAATGATATATTAAAATTGTATTGGTAAAGCAGCTGTTCATTTTCTTAGTAAATTGAGTAATTAAAAAAGTGTATTCCTAAATGTTATAACCTTTCTAATACAGGGTTTAAATTGGACAATAAAGCTGAAAAGTCCTAACATTTTAAATTGAAACCTCAGTGAAGTCCTCCTAACAGAACTACCTGTTTCAAACTTTTAATACATGTTTTTCGATATAATTTGATAAAAATGGACCACAGAATTAAGACTTTTTAACAAAAATATCTTGTTCTTAAGTCAGCCCTTTTTAAAGAAACAACAGTTGCATTGGTTATTGTCATTTAATTGCATTTTGTTAATCAATAACTGATTGAAATGACATTTAATATGTAATTTCATTATCGTTGCATGTCATTTATTTCCCCAACACTCTACAAAAGACGTCACAATATGGTAGAGGATAAGACAATAAAAACTTAAAATATGTTGATTATCGGACAAAATGCATGAACACAGATTTGTTTATGAAAAATCCTGTCAATCTATCACATTTACTCCAAACCTTTATTATTACCCAACTCTATGACTAAAATGTACAGTATATATCATTAGGAGAAAAAGAGAACCGTGACAATGCAAAGAAGGTAGTTATTTTTTCAGTTCAGTTCACAAGTCTTATCTAAATGTGTTGCATGGACATTGACATAATAGCAGCATAGTTTCACATCCATTGTTTAGTCACTCAAGCCTCTTTTTACAGAAGGTATGATCTCTCTTTTGAGTGTTCCATAAACCAGTAAATATTCAACAGCCATTACATTTTTTTAAATACAATGTTATATTACTTAGGCTTTGAATAAAATGAGAATGTTCCCTTCTGTAAAAACCTTTAGAATAAAGATAGCAATACAACTGGAGTGGAGAATCCTTGCTTCAAGTTGTACAACTATGGATTTAAATGTATTTAGCTCTAGTGTATTTCCTTACGCTTAAAAAAAAATGAACTTCGTAAATTTTAGAATGTTAAATGATTCACGTCAAGTATATGAATGCATGCATTTCCAAACATTTGGACTACCTATGTTGCAAATGTATTATCTCTTCGATTTACACACGGCATCTATTGCACGTCTGTCCGTCCTGGGAGAGGGATCCCTCCTCTGTTGCTCTCCCTGAGGTTTCTCCCATTTTCCCTTAAAACTGTGGGTTTTCTCCGGAAGTTTTTCCTTGTACGATGTGAGGGTCTAAGGACAGAGGGTGTCGTATTGTCATACTGATATTCTGTACACACTGTGAAGTCCACTGAGACAAATGTAACATTTGTGATATTGGGCTATATAAATAAACATTGATTGATTGATGTGAAATGGTCAGAAATTACTCACTGGCATTAGTTACTTATATGCATCAAAAACAGTTCCTATAGCAACCAATACATCCCAAAACAAATAGGTCCGGACAAAACCTACACATACTGAGCATTAGTATCAAATGTCATAAATCCAAATGCATCACATAACATATGACATTAGCAAACATTCGTCATGGTGAGTCATTAGCCCTCTGTTAAAAAAAGCACTAAAATAATGTGCACTTCACTAAAGACAACTTTTTTGTATACTTAAAGTTTCAAATGTTATTCTACCAAAATCTAAAAAAATCCTAAATATCTGATGTAGTATACAAACAGTGTAATCATCATGTGGAATGTTACATTACATTTGCAATGTGTGTATGAGTATCAGGACACAGTGTGTTTTACAGCAAAAAAGTAACAAATCATTCTGTAGTAACATAATCTATTAACACTCCATGATTATAAAAGGTATCATACAGAAAATGCTATTAGACTTTGTCATATTTAGTAAACTGGCCTTACTGAGAAAGAAATGTTTTCATTTGTCTACATTTGTAACAACAAGGCTCATAAGAATTGGGCAAATTACAGTGGGAACAATTCCGTAAAGCGATCTATAATACATTCAGAAAGCAAGTCCAATATCTATGACTTTACAGTGTGTGGTGTGGTGCAGCGTTATGGATACATAATCAGATTCCCGTTAACACTGCCTGTGGATAGCTGCATTACCTGTGTCTCATGAACCAGTGGAAAGTGACATTGTAAAAAGTGTAAGAGCAGCATAGTTCTTTAAACTCGTTAAATAAAGTATTTAGCAGTCATTTTTAAACTGTTTGTCGAAGGATAGCCTCTTATACGTCTCTGTGGTCACCTGCTGCAGGTAGAACATATCAATATCTGGGTGTTTGAAGGTGAAAAGCTCAAATTTGCCGCACCGTTTGACTGCGTTTCGGATGAGGAAAAACAGCAGCACTGCACACAGCGCCACGAACAAAGTGATGCCCAGGACGCTGCCCGTCTTGATGTAAGTGGGCACTGAGGCCTGGTGAGAACCGGCGGAGGTCGGGTACAGAAGATGAGAGCCTGATCCCTCTTCTTCAATGGGAACACACTTGTTCTTCTTTTCATCCATGTAATACCCCTCAGAGCAAAAACACCTGAAATCACCAAATAAATTCTCACACTTTTGATCGCACTGCCCACTGTCACACTCATTGATGTCCGTGCAGAAGGGGTTGTTGTCCTTCGTGTCTGAAATGTAGCCGTTGGGGCAGAAACATTGAGACGTGTCCTTGTCTGTCTTAATGCACGTGGCTTTGCAGTCTCTCTCCGTGCAGATCACCTCACACCTGGTGGGGTTGTGGGGTGACACCAAAAACCCCTCCTTGCACACACACTCATAAACCCCGTTGAATTTCTTACAATCCATGTGCTCACAATGTTCACAGATTGTCACGTTCACACATACTCCGTCTTCCTTCTCGAATCCCTCTTTGCACACGCATTTGGGTCCTCCCGGGGTGAGTTGGCACCGCTCGCCTTCTCGCGCGCACCGGTTTTTCTCGCACATGCCTTCCTCGCAGGAAATGTTGTTGTGGTGGAGTGTTTTCCCCACAGGACAGGTGCATCTGTGTGTTGTAGGGCTGCAGTTGTGTTCACAGCCGCCCTGAAACACCTCGCAGGCCCAGGGAGCTTGCGTCCAAATGTTTGAGGAACACACATATTTGGAGTCTAGATATTTGGCGCCAACCTTTCGTGCTTCAGCGATGGTTCCCATCGGGAACTTTTCCGAATCGTCCACCTCAAAGGTGTACTTCACCTGCAGAGGGGGAAGCATATATATATATTTTAATAAAGTAAAAGCAGCAATACTACCATGTTGAAATACTCTGTTAGAAGTAAAGTCCTGCAGTCAAATACTAATAAAGAAACAATTGTTTTAGCATAAAATATTTGTAAAATACCAAAATGAATTATTAAGCATAATGCTATGTATGCTAATATGTTAGCATGTTGGAGATGCTAAAAGGGGGGTTAAAGGTCAACTAGTTAGGTAGCTTATTCTATATTAAAACATCATTAGTTGTTAGTTGATTTATTTTGCGTATCAATAATGTTAAAATGTAAAAGTTAGGCTGAACAATTGATTTAAATATGTATCAAAATCGCAATATAATATGCTAATATAAGTATTGTATTGCTACAGAGATGTCCCCGGCTACAAATCTACAGACTTAAATAAAATATATTTGTTCGTTACAAGATTGTCGCAAAAAATAAATGCCGCTACGATCATTGTAATATATTCTGCTATAGAAATTAGACTGATTACGAAAAAAAAAATGATTAGCCTACTTGCAACAATATCGTGACATATACTGTATATCGCAATCGCAATACATTTAAATAATTGCCATTTGCTTTAAAAATGTGCTACCCGTTTAAAAAGTAACTAGGGTAGAAGTATAAAGTAGAAAAAATACCTATAATAAGTAGACCTACAACTGTAAGGAACAATGAACGTGTGGAGCCGTCAATTGCAATATCTGACTTTCTTCATTTGGAATATTGTGAATATATATCCTATGTAATCACTATTAAATGGTTTGGCTATTTAGCAGACATTTTGAAGTCTAATATAACAAATGAGTTGGTCTGGCACCAAGTCTCTGAATAATTGAGTAAAATACTACAAAAGATGTTGCAACCGTTCCCAGTCTCCCCTACTTGAATATCCTAAAGCCCAGTACTTGTTAGTACTTAGTTACCCTTCACCAATGTTCACCTGTATGTCTGTGCCCGCTAGCACTTCACTGCAGGGCTCCTGGATCGGATACTGGCAAAGGAACCCGCTCAGGCTGCCTCCGCACGGCTCCCACAGCACCGAGGAGTTCGACACGGAGATGGAGGGGCACATCTGGAGGGCTTCCCCCGCCGACATTACGTTTTTTTTTGGGTCAAACCAGTACCTCCCTGTGGGCGCAGCCTTCAGGATCTTCAAGAAGTGCTCCGAGATGGAACTTAATAACTGTCCGCCAAAGTCTCCGCAGCTTTTCTTCGCGCCTGCAAAGTCCAGGGGGCTTTGGAAGAACGCAAAGCACTGGTTCCCGATGCAATGTCCGCGCTGCGACAGCACCGTTTCCTGCAGCGCGCAGAGGAGAAGCGCACAGAAGAGCCGTGTAGCGACCATGATGTCGATGTTAGTGAAGCTGCCGATGGTGGAAACCGTGTTGGACGTTCTGAAGCTGAACCAGCGACTGGCTGCTCCACATAGTCCCCATTTATAAAAGACTGCTGTTTTGTCAGGCGAGGAAGGAAGTTCCGTTCAGGCCACTGGTTAAAGCCCCGGTCTGATTGCTCAACCCCCACACAGCCAGGAGCCTTATCTCAAAGAGACTGGCCCATCAAAACACACGCACGCGCGCGCACACGCACACACACGTGAACTTTTAACAAGAGAGAGAGATCCCATAATTCCCTCCCATGAGTGGCTCTTCACTTTCTCGATTTAGATGATATTAAGGTTTCATGAGAAACTCAAGTCAACCGGAAAGGAGAAAAATATGAACTACTTTTTTTTGGGAGCAGGTATTTTCGAGTGGTATTCACTTATGTTGTCATATTAATATCGTGTAAGTTATTAATTAAACATATATTTCTTTTTTTTCTTTTTGAATACTCTTTTTATTGTTATTTTTCAAACATTCAGACATAACATATCGTCCATTACTCCTAGAATCGCCATCTGAGGGTTCGAATTAAACTGCTTTAAAAAGTAGGAGAACATGTCTTCATTCAGCATATTTATATTGTATTATCGCTACGATATAAATGTGTTCGATTTTGCAGCAAACAGACAAGATACCAAAGACTAGTTCTGTGTTATTCAATACATCAAAATGTAGGGAACATTTGTCAAATTCTCCAAAAAAAGCTACACCAATTCTTTATTTTTGCACTAATAATGGATCAAATGACTATGTGCAGTATGTTATGTGTAATGAGAAAAACCTCACTAAGATCAGCATCTCCCTTCAGCTTTTTAAAAATATATTTCGACTTATTATTTAGGTTTCACAACGTGCAACTTAGGTTAGATTTAACTTAGATTGTTTGAAGTTGTTTAGTATACTTTAGTTAGGTCTGAATCACCAAAGTCAAGAGAATAATGAGATGATTTGAAGACCAAGAACAAATCACCAGTTACAGTAAAAATGTATTTAATTATAGAACCTAGAGAAGAAGCCCTTTCAGGAAAAACGCTGACTCATGCATACAAACTTCCTTTAAGGTAATAACCGTTCAGGTAGAGACAATTGTCTGACAATCTAAATCCATCATCATGCTTCAGCTATTAGTGGGGCTTGAAGTGGAGGAAGAGAGCTGCCTTCCACTTTCCCTAGAGGGGAACCTGACTGTAATGAAACAGGAACAAGAGGGCAGGACATACATGTGATCACGTCCGATACATTCCCGCCCAAAGTGACAAAGAGTGACTCACCTGATGAAAGATAAACATATTTCAGTGCACTAGAATAATCAGGAACTCGTCAGCTGTAATCTTGACCTAGTTAAAGATCTGCAAACTGATTTACAACTGGCATTAAAGCATGTTTGAAAAAGTGCTGCCCACAAGGCTCTACTCCAGTCCTGCTTATTTCCCCTCATGTGGTGTGATGGAGCCGGGTGGAGGGGATGTGACAGAGGCGTACGTGGATGGAAATCCTTTGTTCGCGTTTTATAAATAAATGATCAGTTCAGTGTTTTTATTAGAGGAGGGAATGTTCAATGTTAAGATGTTGATCTTTGCTAGGAGGCCTGGCAGTGGGCACCATGGAGTAAATCCAATGTAGTGACACACACTTCTGTGTTATCTGAAGTCGGCTCAGTCTTCGTAAATATTTTCCCTCATATCTATCTTTATTGCCCACACTAAGTTTACCCGAGGGAGCCTTCAATATGTGCCTGACAACAAATCAAAGCAAGCTCTTTCCAGCCTTCCTTTGCAATGTTTCCGTAGTAACCATGTGGTGTAGTTACTTTATTAAGGTTTGGTCAGCGCCACTAACAACAGCCCCAGTATGGTCTTATTTTGAATTCAATATGTGTGACAATGCTCGATACTTTTGTTTACACTTGTTAAAGGGGCCCTATTGTGCTTTATGGGCCTTTCCCTTTCCTGTAGTGTGTTATAGGTGTAATACTCTGTAATGGTCTGCAAAGGCTAAAAACCCAGAGTTTCTCTCCCACACACTCCCCCCTTTTCGGAAATGACTCCATTGGTCTCCTTTATTTACTTCTTGAACATAGTGGCATCAATAGGTAACACTTGCGTCTCTATTGGCTAGCGCTCTAACACATTGTACGAGATTTGCTAAGGTGCGAAACATTTCTGACACATCTCTAAGCCGTTGACCAATCACAACAGATCCAGCCAGCTAACCAATCAGAGCAGACTGGGCTCTGGTTTCAGACAGAGGGTGAAAAGAGGTGCTGCAGCACAGATAGTATGAGAAAAATAAAGAGCTTTTTGAACATTAAAGCATGGAGACATGTCACAGTAGAGACACCAAATACTAATATGAACCTGAAAGTGAGCATAGTAGGGCCCCTTTAAAGCAGCTTCGCTTGTTTTAGCTGTAAAGACCTTGCCAGTTTCCTGCCGCCTGTGAAGTGCCTCATACGCCCAACTGACGGCTGAATGCTAAGGTCACTTCTTCATCCTGCTACTAACTGCAGTTAAATACTTTATTGAAAGTAACATGCAATCACCCTCACATCAGTGCTCACTATCCACCGTCCCTGTCTTCTAGAAAAGGATGTTCCATACAGCTAAACATCATTCTCCATTACCTTTCGAGGGACACCTATTTTTTCCCGGTTATGGTCCACAATGAGTCTTGACCAGCAGTTTCATTGGTAAAAGTCCTGTAATTATTTACGTTCCGACTTCAAACCTCCACTTCCAAAGATTTTAATTTGAACTATATTGGATACTGTAGGTCAAAAACTGTTGTTATGGCAACACGTAGGCTACATCTGCAGCTTGTTAATTACCCAACACTTACTGTGAAATTCCTCTTAATTTACAATGTAATTTTTCTTGATTAATCAAAACACATAAAATATTACATTACATTACATTGCATTTAGCTGACGCTTTTATCCAAAGCGACTTACAATAAGTGCATTCGACCAGGAAGACACAACCTTGAAGAAAACAGAATCATATCAGGTTTCATAGAGCCAAACATTTCAAGTGCTACTCAACTGGCTATAGATAAGCCAGTCCTTTATTAGTATATAAGTGCTCTGTTAGCAGTTCTTTGTTAGTAATTATATCGCTCAAGGTGGAGTCAAAAGAGATGAGTTTTCAGTCTGTGCCGGAAGATGTGCAGGCTTTCTGCTGTCCTGATGTCAATGGGGAGCTCATTCCACCATTTTGGAGCCAGGATAGTGTTTAGAGTCGGCGAGGCCGTGATAATTTATTCCAGTAAATTACTCTGACCTACTAATTGACCTGACCGAAGTTATTAAGTCTATGTAAGTTTACTGCTTGGCTCAGATCCACCAACGTCAGCAAGATCTCACCTCTATTAACTCCCCGAAGAACCAGGTTCAATTAACTGCTGTTTCAATTCAGACAACTCTTTTTAATCTGTTTAAGCGATCCCGAAGGATTTTGATATCAGTAAATGAGGTGTGTTCCTACCTAAAAGTGAGTGTGGCAGGGTGCAGTCTTACCTTTGAAGCAGGAGAGGAGAGCACAGATTTTCTTTTAGTTGTCCCAGTCCAAAAGGTGAGATCAGTTAATTTGAAGAAAAATAGGTCCAAACTAATACAGGGTTTTTACCTTCTCTCTTTAACACATTATAATCATACGAAACATATCATGCTGGGGTTATATTTTTATCTAAAACCTTAATTCATTTCTCCCATTTAAAGTCTTCCGACGAAATTCAAAAGGAATTTCCTCGTGATGGCTTAGGTTTTCTAATTAGTTCTAAAGAACTGATACATTTTCATGTTTTCCAGGCAAGGTCTAACTAGAATTATTAGTCATAAGGTCCTGTATGTAATAATCACGCATTCCAGGCAAGGTTATTAGAGCTATTTACCCAGCTCGGAGGGCCAGAGCCCACCGGGAGAGAGTATACCAGGGGTTTCCCCCTCTCTCTCCATCAAATCATTCCACTCAGCAAACAAAGAAATTCACTCAGTATTCAAAGAAAAAATCAAGAGATATTTACCAAGTTTGAGAGAACCTTACCGAGAGCTATTTACCCAGCTCGGAGGGCCAGAGCCCACCGGGAGAGAGTATACATGGGGGACCCTGATGTAAACAAGACGAAAGTCTTTCTCTGGTCTGCATCCCCTTAACAATTGTATGTTTTGAGCTGTACTGTACCCAATATACAAGCTGTTAATACATTTTTCAATCAATCAATACCAGGGGTCTCCCCCTCTCTCTCGCGCTCTCTAAAAAAACCAGTCTCTTTATGCTCAAAAAACCGGATCAAAACCCCAAGATGAACATATTTGACCGTGATTTAATTGTAATACACGTTTCAAAATGATGCCGAAGTAACAACATACTGATACCGGTTAGTAAAAACCATGAATGAATGCTTTGACAAGTCTGCAGACAGACGGCAGGCGAAAAACCCTTTTAAAATGCGTGTTTTTTCTAAGCTAACGCTGTATATGCTCCGACCGTCCACACTCACAACAACGGCCTATACAGACATAAATAAACCAGCGACTATATTCGCCATGACACAGGCAGTCTGTGGTTTGTACTTGTTTAACTTTTGTCTAGTTTCTGAACAGATATGAGGAGCTGTGAGCTCTGAGGACTAACAGCTAACGACTGATGTTGTTTTTCTGTGGTTAGCATTGAAGATGACGTCACGGCTCCGCCTACACTGCGTTACCATAGTTACTGCCCCAGCTACTAAACTGTAATGGAAACGCAGCATAAAGTGAGCCCGTCCTAACAAGGCCTAACTATACCGTACTAAGCCGAGCGAGGCCCTGCAATGGAAATGTGCCATTAGAGGACGGAGAGCTGGCACACTTTAGCCGTGTTACACCTCAAGAGTTATCTGCCACACAAAAGCAACGGATTGGAATTTACCCAACTTTTAATCTAAAGTAGAGAACATTTTCATTGTCAGTTTCATGGCAGTTGCCAACTGCGTGAAGGTACAGCCAAGGACTACAGAGAGTGAGATATAACTGTCACCAGTCAGGGAGGAAAAGGAAGGGGTTTCCATGTCCAGGACAATGAGAGCTGAGGTTAACTAACCAGTGGGTTTACACACACATATGTATTTAATCTGCACATACAGATTCAAAAACACAAGGAGGCTCCACATGTTTGTGTA